GGGGGGGGTGCGGGGCTCGGGGGGGGTGCGGGGGGCGGGGCACCGACGGGGGTGTTTTGGGGTGGGCAGACGTGGGGCACCCCTGCGGCGGGGGTTCGGGGATCGAACCCCTACCCCGGCCTTGCCCCCGGGGGCCCCCGCCTGACAACCTTGATTGAGGTGGTTGAAGGTGCAGGCCAAGATGATACCTAAGCTTACTAGGTGGGCCGCAAAAATAGACCAGTTTGACTTTGAACTCAACCAGTCAAACGAAAGTATAATGTAGTCGTGAACGATTTAAGTAGGAGAGCTGATTACTTTGGAGCGGTAGTTCACTATCTGGATATAGGGAGAGACCTGCAATAGAAAGTTAAGGAAACCTATACGCAGGACCCTATTTATAGTGATCTCCTCAAAAGAGTTAAGGAGTCCCCATAGTCTGAACCAGATTACCGCATTATAGATGGGTTGCTATTCGAGAAGATTAGTGTAGCCGATCGTTTATGCGTTCCCAACAGCAAAGAGATCCGTAGTCTGATCTTAGGGGAATGCCACGACACAGAGGGACAAAAGAATGGGAGGCAGAAGACGTTAGCTAACCTCATTTGCGCGTATACGTGGCCACGTATGAAAGCCGACTGCATAGAATATGTACGCAGTTGTAAGGTATGCCAGCGGGATAAGACCACTACGCGAGCCCCTCTTGGTCTTCTCAGATCCTTGCCTATACCCGACGGACTCGGGGACTTTGTGCCCATTCATGGAGCAAGGGTCAGGAGTAGGCATGGCAAGAGCTAAGTCATGGTTAATGGTGATAGATTTAGTAAGTACGCAGTTTTTGTTCCTTTGCCCGCGGAGGCACGTACAGGCTTAGTTATAGATAAGTTATTTGATCACTGGGTCAGTGAACATGGTCTACCGTTGTCGACAGTTAGTGACAGAGATACCAGGTTCACTAGTCAGAACTGGCAGGAATTGATGAGAGTCTATGGCTCTAAGTTGTTGATGTCATCTGGCCATCATCCAGAGACTAACGGTCAGACTGAACATATGAACACAATCCTGCAGCAAGTTCTCATACTGTATATTAGATTCGACCAAGTTAACTGGGATGAGATGCTTCCCAAGGTAGCCAGCGCATACAACAATCGCGTGCATTTAGCAACCTGTCACACTCCCAATGAGTTGCATTAAGTCCTTTAGACAACGTAAACCGTTTGAAAGACTGAACCGGGATCAGATCCAGAGGCTACCGCCCGGTACTAGGGAGTTTGCACTACAGTATGAGAGAGATTGCTACCGTAACAGAAAACCTCAGGAAGGCCCAACACAAGATGATAGAACAAGCCAACAAGCACCGTCGCCCGTCACATTTCCAAGTAGGCGACTTAGTCTGGGTCAAGTCAAAGGAGTTTGCTCCTGAGGAGAACATCTCGCAGAAGTTATTGCCTGCATACCGAGGACCATGGCCAGTCTTGGAAGTCGAGGGCGGAGAGGATGGACCGTCCTACAAAATCGAGATTCCACCACACCTACACACCTACCCAGTTTTTCATGCGTCAAAGGTGTTGCCCTGTACCACAAGTCAACAATTTCCATCACGGAGATCCATTTTCCCTTTTATGGATTGAAGGTACGATATTGACCGCATAGTAGGTGAAGATGTGTTCAGAACAGGAGGTTGAGGTCGTCCGCAGAAACAATATAAAGTCAGATTCTCTTTTCAGGAACCAGAAGACGACCGCTGCTTCACACGAACAGAGCTTCTTGAGACCGCTCCCGATGTAGTTCGAGCCTATAAGAGAGAGAAAAAAGGTAAAGGTCCAGCCTTGGACCGAAGTATTCTCAGAGGACCTTGAATTTAGGCCGGCGGGAGTGAAACGGTTTTCACCTTTGCAGTGACAGATGCAGATCCCAGGGTTCGATCCCTAGACCTTACCTCACCCGTGTACAGTATTAAGTCGACCCGGTGTGTTTTGAACCCGCGACCTGTGTTTTGGTAGTTGAATGTAGGCTGTTGTAGGTCTGTGTAGCTGTCCACAGACTTTCGGAAGGTCTGGAAGTGGCCTTTCGAGTTTTTCTCACGTTAGACCAGAGGCAAGTGGGCAAGCGGGTAGTTCGACTTTGCTTAGTCAGCGGTACCCAGTCCCAGTCTCACTTTGTCCAGTCAGCAAGTACCATGTGGGACTGTGCACCATGGGCCCGGTGGAAAGGGCCCAAAGGGGCAGACCAACGACTTACAGAAGTATAAATCAAGAGGCAGCGTCCAGCCATTCATCCATTCCTGTGTGAGCCATGCGGAAGCGCTGCCCTAGCGTCTTGTGCGAGGTGGTCTGCAGATGCCCGAAGTCGAGGTGGGCTGAGGCGGAGTCAGAGCAGCCATCGCTGCTGGTAGTTAGTTGTAGCCAGCGGCCATAGCTGCCATAGTTAGCGGTAGCTGGTAGTGAGAGTGAGTGTATGTGTGTGCGGGATACAGTGTGTGTGTGCGTGGGATATCCAGGGAGGTCCAGTGTGGAGTGTATGTGAACACTTGTGTGAATACAGTGTCGGTGATGAGAAGTGTAGGCGTCCAGGCGCCATAGCCATTCTGAAGCGAGTTTGTATTCAAACTGTGTTCTCGGCTTGGAGATCTCTGAGCTTTGTGTGGGCGCCTGGCGCCAGTATGTCTTGCCATCTGTTTGCGTGCATGCGAAGTGAGAAGAAGCAAGTCTGATTGCAAGAAAATGAAATCTACTGTATCGTCTGTATTTGTTTTGGTCAGTCTGTGTATGGTGGGGTGGGGTTGGGTTTTGTCTCTTTGGTGTCAGGACTCCCCGTGTAGCATGGTATCCGTGTGGGGTGTTATTTATTGATGTGCTGTGATAATATTCCTCTGTATTGATTTGCTGCAGTATTGCCTCTTTTATAGGGGCTGGCGCAGGACAGGTGGGGCTTAACAGTGTGCTTGGTGGAGGCATGTTTGTGACTGCTGTTGTGGTCGGCCTCATCACATTCGCTGTTCAATCTCTGAACGTGAAGCTTGACCGGGGGTCCTTCATTCGGGATGTCGGCTTCTACATGCTGGCCATATTTGTACGTCCCTGTCTTCCCCTCACTTTTCATGCATTGTGCCTGCTTTGCATGACAGCAGGTCGATGCTTTCATGTTTTTGTCCCATTCAATTGTTTTTGTATTGTGCGTTGTCATGTTCTTTGCTAAACATAACTCCACATAGTTGCATACATCTTTCCACGACTCTTGTTTTTCCCCGTGCTTTTTTTACCCCTATCACTACAATTATTACAATCGCTATTTCATAGTGTGTGACCAGCAGCCGATCTGGGACCTTCGTTTCCTTGGCGTGCGACGGTCCAGATTGGCTGCTGACCGTTTTTAATGTCATCAACTCGCGATCTGCACCGTCGCTGGCGTTGCACCGCACAACCCAGATTGCGTGCTGATCGTTTTCGAGACGATCGCTGGGCTGGTAGCTGGGCCGGTAGGCCCTGGCCCGGTAGTGCCACGTGCGGTACTACCGGGCCAGGGCCTACCGGCTCTGCGCAAATTCGCACTCCCCAGGCTCCGGAAGTGCTGCGCGCGGCACCAGCGCAAATTCGCACTCGCCAGGCCACGGTAGTGCTGCGCTAGCGGCCCTGGGGTTGTAACAAATGTTTTTAGGGAGGTGGCCACAGATTCACACTCCCCAGGCCAAGGTAGTGCCGCACGCGGCACCAGCACAAATTCGCACTCCCCAGCCGTGCAGGACCACATGTAACAAACTTTTTTTGGGGAGGCAGTCAAACGACTAACTTTGCTAATGGCTGCCTATGCACGACTTCGACACTACCCTACACTACTGCGCTCGACTTTGACTCTCTACGACCTGACTCTAGGCTACTGTGCTCGACTTCGACTCACTACGCGCGCACTCAACCTCGACTATCTATGCTCAACTTTGCTACTCTCTCTCTCTCTCTCTCTCTCTCTCTCTCTCTCTTTCTACGCTATGGCGCTCGACTTCAGCTCTCTACGACGCGACTCCAGGCTACTGTGCGCGACCTCAACTATCTACCCTCAACTTTGCTACTCTCTCTCTCTCTCTCTCTCTCTCTCTCTCTCTCTCTCTCTTCCCCCCCTCTCTTTCTACGCTATGGCGCTCGACTTCGACTCTCTACGACGCGACTCCAGGCTACTGTGCTCGACCTCAACTATCTACGCTCAACTTTGCTACTCTCTCTCTCTCTCTCTCTCTCTCTCTCTCTCTCTCTCTCTCTCTCTCT